GTTGGAGGGAGGGAGAGAGAGAGAGGTGGATGGAGGAAGAGAGACACAGAACAGGGAATTGAACTGGGAACTGAAGGGAGGGAGCGGGATGATAGACAGAGAGAGAGAGAGAGAAGGAGAAGAAAAGAGAGAGAGAGTTAGACACAAAGAAGATACAGGAGAGAGTCGGATGGTTAACCGAGTGAGGATTGGAACGGGGATAGAGAGAGAGCGAGGGATGACTGAGCTGAGGAAGAGACAGAACGATTGGGGAAGGCGGAGAGCTGGAGATGAGGAGACCGGGGGAGAGAGAGGGGATGAGGTTGGGAGCGTAGCCTGATCCGAGGGTGGAATTCTGGGATTGGCGATAGAGGCTAACAGCATACAGCCAGACCTACCTCGGACGTCCTGCACTGGGCCACTGTCTATGCTGCCTCCGTAGCCAGTGTCCTTACAATGGGGGGGGGCCCATCCCACATCACAGTGACAGTTCTCGTTGCTGTTACAGACCTGAGAGAGACACAAAGGGAGAGAAACACGCACACGCACACGCACACACGCACATACGCACGCACGCACACACACACATGCGCACGCACACACACGCACGCATGCACACGCACACGCACACACACACATGCGCACACACACACATGCGCACACACGCACACGCACGCACACACATGCGCACACATGCACACACGCGCGCACACACACACACGGACATGCAGACGCACACACACACACGTACACATACACACATGCACACACGCACGCACGCACACACACACACATGGACAGACACACACGGACACACACACACACACACGCACACACATGGACGCACACACATACACACGGACGCACACACACATACACACGCACACACGTACATACGGACACACGCATACACGCACGTACACACATGCACGCACACGCACGCACACACACGCACACACACACACATACACACACGCACACACGCACACACGCGCACACACACACGGACACGCACACACACAGACACACACGCACACGCACATACACACATACACACACACACGCGCACACACGCATGCACACACACGCACACACAGGCACACACACACACGCACGCACAGAGACATGGCATCAATGGTGGGAGTAAAAGCCATCACCAATCCAACACATTCAACAGCTGGATAGGGGCAGCACATTGTCACTGGGACTGTGTCCGTAGGGGAAAACAGTTGACCCCTGGGATTGTGTCCAATGGGAGTGAACAGGAAGAGGTGTGATCCATTGGGATGGTCTCCAATGGG